AGTGCAGCCAAACACAGTACAAAGAGATAAAAACTCAACATTCATTCCAAAGAATTTACTGAACCAAAGCTTTGGTTAAATATAAATGAAGAAGATAAGAATAATATCCTTGAGGCGGTTATATTTGTATAAAAATAACAACAAATGTTTTCAGCCCTGGAGAACCAATGCCATGACTTAGGAGTGATGTCATCTGGTGGAAAATCCCCTTGACGGTATGTGACAGTAAACACTTGATATTTAACTAAGTTTTGAAGGTATTTGTATAATTATTATGCTGCTAGCGTTTGAACAAATATATACACAAACAGCTATTAGAAAGGACAATAGGGAAGCAGGAAGAGCAAATGATTAACAATAGTAGTGACACCTAACCCCTTTTATATGGTGAACATGGACGTGACATGAAGTGTTACTAATTGCAGCTTATCTGTATTACAGGTTACTCGTCTGGTTTTGCTCCAGGTTTCTAAGGTATTTGTCTGAGATTTTTCCCTCTGCCACAGATTTTATAAAACACTGCTGCAATCTCTTTGACGTCACTAACAGGTCTTTCTTGGAGTAGAATCCTTTTCCATTTAGTTTCGGTTGGAGCGATCCTGAGGAACAGGCTTGTGTAACCCTGTTCCTCAGAACGCACTTAAACAGACGAAGCTGGCATCTGGTTAGATAAAACAAACCCTGTGGTAACTGGAAAGGAGCCTAAAGTATCCAGTGTTTTACCAAAAATAAATACATTAAATAAAAGTCAGAAAAAATAAATAGAATTCTTTTTTTTCTTGTGAACAAACAAATAAAATATCAATTTTATTGATGTTTGGCTATTTATTTTATTTTTGACTTATTCTCTAGTTTTCTCAATGTTCATTTCTAGAATTTGTTGACAAGGTATCTGTTCAATCATTAAACATGTGAAAGAATATTTAATTAAATATTCTTTAATAAAGTTATTTAAGAATTCACTATATAGACTGCCATATCAGTAATCAGTGAATTCTTCCCCTCTAAAATCAGTATGAGTCTCTAATATAGATATTATTATTATTATTAGGGATGTCTCGATCAAGTAATTTTGTTTGATATCTGATCGGATATTTTCCTAGATGATACAGGTGCACAGTGCACACTTCAAGTACATTATTCAAATCAATACAATGTACTCGCATATGTTTGACAATCGAATAGCTCTGTAATGTATTAAGAAAAAAATTTCTTGAATGCAAACTGTTCCGTAATGTTTTTTAAATGTAATTAATTTTTTAAAATTAAATAACCACGTAAACAAACAAAATTATGTCTTTGTAAATTGCTCTTATCAGTTCCACTTAAACAGTAAAACTAGAGCACTCACAATGAGTATTATAATCACAACAAACTAACCCGTCGAGGCAGTGCTAGACCAGCAACTCCCGTGTTCTATGAGGTTGTCACAGGTTGTCAATGGAGTCTGGTGGCTTTGAAGCATTGTCAGTAGCTTTGAACAGAACCATATAATATATACTGTGTGTTTAGTGGATGTACTTTGACTGGCGCATTTGTCCCCAAGGAGCCATTGTGTGCCACTTTAGTGGCTTCCATCTGAGGCAATCTACTGGACCAGATCCAAAACTTTAGTGCCTGTTAAAGCAAAGGGTTGGGCTTAGGTTCCTGCTCAATAAAGCCAATACCGATCAGTCAAAAAATGATGGCCCCAATACCCATCCTTGAGATTGGATCGGGACATCCCTAATTATTATTATTATCTGTGCTATTTTCTGTGTGTTTGCAGTTTGAGCCACTGGACCGGGTAGCGGTGGACATCCCATTCCTGTTGATGACAGACATCCTCTCATCGTCTCCCTGGCCTCTCCTGTTGGCCTCCTCTTCTCTGCAGCTGCTTACTATGACCAGCAACACGCCACAGCTGCAGTCACAGCTGCTTGAAGGTACCGGACTAGTTTCAGCTCTTCATGATTCATAGCTCTGATTAAAACATGTGAATCCTATGACTATAACCTATTATTTGTGTGCGTGATCAGTGGTTCTGCAGACAGGCGAGAGTGCCAGCGAGTGTTTCTGTCTCCGGTGTCCACCACTGACCAACAGCAATAGCACTGTAGCTACAGGACAGTACCTGATATCATGGAGGAGGTATGTAACACACATGTTGCAAAGTGATCAGTGTGTGTGTGTGTTTGAAGAGGCTTGTAAGTCTCTTAACTGTGTTTTAACTCTGTTGTACAGAAAGTCCTCCAGTGCAGACAGTCCTCTCATCCAAACTACAGTCACTCTACCTCATGTCATCCTGGAGTCTGTCCCCCTTTACATCCACGCTGGTCAGTCAAGTTTACACGTTACATATTTTCTTTCTTTTCAGTCTTTATTTTCCGGCTGAATTTGACTTGTAACACTCAGTTGTGTTGAATGTTTTTATTTTATTTCAACGTGTCTTTGTTTGGGTGTAGATTTACCATCATTTGGGCGAGTCAGAGAGTCTCTCTCAGTCCGTTACCACATAGAGAACAGAACAGCTCTGGTGCAAGAGGTGGAGATGGCTGTTGAACCTTCTGATGCCTTCATGTTCTCTGGACTCAAACAGGTACAGTGCTCTCAACTTTAAATAAAGATTTGGCAAATAAAAGGCATGTAACTGCATGTTGATGGTCAAAACGATATACTATACTATACTATACTATACTATAGGTTCCCTGAATACATATGTGGTAACTGAACTGAACTGCTCAAATATGTGTTTGTATATATGAAGTAGGACACAGGAAGACCACACTACTGTTTTAACTCCTTTTTACTTTCTGAGGGTCTCTAGGGAAAACCCCTGCACTCGTGCTGATTCACATATGGGTTACTATGGTTACCACTTACTTATACAGATCACTCATGTTTGAGTTGTCTTGGACAGATTACTGTATGTTATAAATGTGTCCGAAGGTCTGAGGCCACTTTCACTGTCTAAATTGTATCATTAAAATTATGCCAAGCCTAACTGATCCTTCCTAAGCCCCGCCCCTTTTTGCTCTGTGCTCCAGTTGAGCAGGTGTTCTGGTGTGACTTAGGAAGGATACGTTGGAGACCAACTGCAGGTTTTAAAACTATGACTGTTTAACTGGCGCTAAGCTTTATTCACGGTCAGAATTGAAAATACAGAGCTGAGAAATGAATGCATGGACGAGAAGATGTATTTACTGTGTGTGTGTGTGTGTGTGTGTGTAGGTGCGTCTGCGTATCCTCCCTGGCTCTGAGCAGCAGATGCTGTATAACTATTACCCGCTGATGGCTGGTTACCAAACACTACCACAGCTCAACATCAGCCTGCCGCGCTGCCCAACCACCAACACACACACACTGAGACGCTTCCTGCCTCAACGCATCTTTGTCAAGGTAACACATTAACAGGAATGCATACACACCACAGAGTTAGTAGTAGTTGTTATCTGAATGTGAAGATATTCAACATTTCAAAGCATCATTTTCTTTCTCTTTCTCCTCAGCCTCAGGGTCGGCAGGTGGACGACGCCTCCATCGCTGCAGCTTGAGAAGAACACACACACAAACCGTTTACTGTAAATACGAGAACAAAGCAACATTGTTTAGGTTGTTCTAGATGTATGATTCCTCACAGATGACAATATTAACACTATTTGTTTCACATTATTCTGTAAAAACACACCAGGACAGACCACCTGTTGACCAAACATCAGGAGACATTTGTTTCTTGCGTTTCTGTTCAGAGTGAATGTGACGACATGATGAGCATGACAGACGGCTGGTAAATGAACCGGTACACTGATGTTCATTTAACAGTAGAAATCATGTATGGATCTGATGTGAACTATATGGAGATTTGGGTAGAGTGTAATACAGGAAAATTGAATGTGAAGTTTTAATTAAATTGAAGTGATGTAAACTAATTGAGCTCCATGTGCATGTTGCTAACAGTGTTTACAGTGAGTATTCTGTTTCCATTGTTCATGTAACAAAATGTAGACTTCAAATTTGCTCCACAATGCTTTGCACCATGGACGTGTAGAGATGTGCGGATGATTACGAAGTTCTGAGGCTTGTTTTACTCCTGCGAATCTCACCGTTTCTGTACATTGTGTTAGAGCTTGTGTCAAATGAAGAAAATCATGTGACGGAAGCTCCAGAAAGAGCTGTAACATGTTGCACAATAACCTCTACATTTAATGCAGCACTTGAACAACAGTATTACAAATGTAATGATAACACACAGGCTTCTTGGACTTTTATTGCACACCTATGAGACTAAAACTGAGACTAAAAGAGGTGTTGTAGAGCTTTTTAGCTCCGGTCTTGTCCCTGTACTGCTGAGTTTGAAGCCCTGAAGTTTGGAATAGTGTTCAGCACAAAGAGAAAAAAAAGCCCCAAAGCTTCATATGGCTTCACTCAGCCATCACTAGTGGAAACGTGGGGAAAGTGGTGCTACAGTGGTTATGGTGGCACGTCCAGAAACACACAGTGTACCAGTAAATGATGAGGGCTTAAAATGTATGCACATTATCTGCTGTGAAGTGGAGAGCCACACTACCTGGCAATTCAACATGTATAGTGGTGCCACCTTAAGGTTTGTGTAAGTATTACTTCATTAATACTTAATTATTTTTTTGTGTGAAAACACATTAATTACAAAATGTGAAAGTAAAAAGTATTTAATAACCTGAAATGTAACAAAACTTTACAAAAAACAGCACATCTTGCGACAATGACGTCTGATCAAGAAAATCATGTTAGAGTCGGGAAAGCGTTTGTTTCCAATCCCAGTGCTGAAATAAATAGATAAGTGATGGCTCAACTGCGCCTGCGCCTGCCTGGCCAATCACTACCAACTCTCGTGGAGACACATGTGTCGCGATAGTTCATGGGAGCTGTGGATTCAAACTGTGGCGGTTTGACTACGGATAGGTGACAAGGTAACAGATAATCAGATAATCAGATGTGTTCATTTGTAATTGTCGTTATTATATTGAGCGTATTTTACAACCATTGTCAATACCAACTCAGTAAATGGTGACTAGAGTTACTTAGTCGTGTCCCTTAAGGAAGTTTCTCCAGTTAACCGTGTTTTGACTGATAAACACAAGTTGGGAAAGTACAGTTAAGTTAAGTAGCTAGTCGAAATTAAATGAATACAGACGCTAACGTTACTAGCTACGTAACGTATTTAAGTTAATTAAACTTAACGTCATAAACCATCGTGTGTAGCCATTTTTGCATTCTTGCTATCTATCAAGCAGTTGGTGGGCGTTTATGTGTGGTTTCAGTGCTAACATTTAACGTAGGGTTAACGTCTTTGTGGTGCTAACATGCACATAAATGCCAAGCTAAAATGAAATATTAGTTTTATCTTGTATTTTTTCTATTCTATTCTTATTTAATTCCTAATCTATGGTGTTGTATCTGGAGCTGGTGAAAGTGAATTTCCCCAGTTTGGGATCAATAGTTCCATCTTATCCTACATATTTGGGAAGAAACAGTAATGTAATGAGATCCCCTAGATAAAAAGGGAATATAACATAGAGATCGCCATCCCAAGAATAAATGTTTAACTTGTGGGACAGTTATACAACAGTGTTCTGCTCTGTCTCTCAGAAGTAAAAGACAGGTGCAATAGAAAAATACTTTAAAACAATAAAATAGAAGTATTACAGTCACTTTCTCCATATGGTTGCTTGACCAACTAATGAACACAGCCCTGAAAGAGGAAAAGTCTAGTTCCTACTGCTGGAAGCATGAAGCGGGTTTTTACACTACAAACATCCCTTTTTCCTCCCGTCTCCAGATGGCAGCAGAAGATGAGATCCAGCGGCTGAGGAGCCAGTTGAGGGAGAAGGAGGAGCAGGTCCATCAGGCTGCCCAGGCTGGCTTGGATCTCCTTAACCAGCAGATGGAACTGCAGAACCGGCTGGATGAACAGAGAGTGGAGATGACCAATGCGCTCGAGGTATGACATTTTAGAGGGTCTTACCATGGCTAAATAAAGTGATGTCTGTGTATTATCCTGAGTAACAGGGGCATTGTTCCAAGTGTAAACACCTTATATGTGTGTGTGTGTGTCAAAGGCCCTCGAGCAGGAAAAGTACTCCCTGCAGAAGGAGGTGGAGTTAAAGAGTCGGATGCTCGAGTCACTGCAGTCAGACTATGACTGTGTGAAGAACCAGCAGAGACAGCAGCTTCAGGAACAACAAGAACATCTGGAGAGGAGAAACAGCACCGCACTCAGTGAGCTCAACAACAAGGTACAGCGACCTGTGGTCAGGCCTCTTCACAGCAGACATTTGGGCACGTCATAGTAGGAAAAGCTCACCCGCATGGTTGCACTACAATCTTCAAGGTGGTGTAATCAAGAATCTAGCAAATACTAGTTGTTGGTATTCCCGTATTTTTCTCTCAGATGCTGAGGTTGCAGTCGGCTCTGGAAGAATCCCAGCTGAATGAGAAGCAGCTGAAACACAAGCTTGAGGTGCAGACAGAGACTCTCAATAACAAGATGGAGGAGCTGCGAGCTCTGAATGAACACACCCAGAGCTCCATGACATCTGAGATGATGGAGGTGCAGATGAAGATCATGGACCTGGAGAACATCAAGGTGAGGGAAGTGAGAATGTCATTTTAGACTTTGTGTAATCTGCCGCTGTGTCCTTGTGTTAATGAGTCAGGTGAATGGTTTCAGGTGGAGTTGGAGCAGACTCTGCAGGAGTCTCAGTACAGAGAGCAGCAGCTGGAGCTGACCAACAGCAGCCTGCAGCGCCACCTGGAGCGAATCACGGAGGAGAAAGAGGAGAGGGAGAAGGAGGCTGTCTCCTGGTTTAATGCATTAGAGGTAAACACACCACTATTTCACTTGAACTAACTAACTAATGGCACTGTAACAGTACAGTTAACAGTTAATAAGTAGAACAACTGCCTGGATTGTTATCATTGTGTTTGTGTGTACATTAAACATTTATCACCATTTTGGAGGATTACTTTGCAAATCAGGTTACACAAGTTATCATGTGCTGCAGACTTCTAGAGGCTGCTTTATGTTACTTTTAGTTTTAGCTTAGGAGTTCTTTAGAATACAAAGATACTGCATACTTGTGAACAGTAGGTGAGAAAGCCAGTTCCCTGTATACATTGGTGTTCTTCAGAATAAATCAAGTTGGGGGAATCCCAAAAGGGATCACTTACTGTAAGTGCATGTAAACATACTTTCTGTGAGAGCATCTCTATCTGTATATGCTCATGCTGTATGTGTTTGTGTGACGCTGTCTCTCCACAGAAATCTCGTGAGGCTAACCGGGACCTCCAGATCCAGTTGGACCAGGTTCTACAAGAGGCCCAGGATCCAAACAGCAGAGGGAACTCCCTTTTTGCTGAGGTAAAAGCCAAACTGAGCTACAGGAAACAAACATCAGGGCAGGCTCTGTCTTTGCTTTTCTGTAGAAAACTAAATGACTCAACTATACTAACTTTATCTGTATGTAAAGATATCTTTATATACCTAAATATTTGACATATAAGGTAAACTGGAGTTTAAATGAAATGCAAAAATGAGCATGCGTATGTTTACTTTCTGTATTGCAGTTGGAAGATAGGCGTGCAGAGATGGAGAGGCAGCTCATCAGTATGAAGGTCCAGTATCAGTCCCTGCAGAAACAGTACGCCTTCAGCAAACAGCAGCTGCAGCGCATGAAGGTACTGTGTGCTGTGGAGTGCAACTGCACTAATACACAAAGCTATGAACATACACTGTTGTTTGTGTGTAACCTGAATGACAGCGTTGATGTGTTGTGCAGGTCCAGATAGCCACTCTGATGCAGCTCCAGGGTTCCAGGGCTGACCCGGCCCAGCTGGAGAGGCTCCAGTCCATGCTCTCAGAGAAAAATGGAGATATCCAAAACCTAATGACAAAACTGCAGAGGCTGGAGAAGGTGGAGGTGAGCGCGTCACACCTACAATTTGAAAAGTCAATGAACAAATGCAGTGCTGGATGGAATCTATCTAAATAATCGATTATGAATTTGATTTGGCCTGTCTACATAAAATGTGTGTGTGTGTGTGTGTGTGTAGATGATGATGAAGTCTCAGCCAGCTAATCCTGCTCCAGCAGAGAGCGGTGACGGCCAGGATGAAACTTACTACACTGACCTCCTCAAAATGAAGCTTAACAACACTGTGTGAGTTGAACCGTCTCCTTGTGCCTCATACGTCATACAGGCAGTACTGTGCCTCGCTGAATCAAACACTTTGATTTGTTACTTCAGTGGTTTTAAAGTGGGTAACCTTTATGAGGATCTATTGTCAGAAATGGAATAAATATTCATAGGTATGTTTTTGTTTTTGTTACCTTATGAGCCGTGTTTATCTACAGAGGGAGTGGGTGGCCTTCCATGTAGTCCGCCATGTTGAACCACCATGTTTCTACAGTAGCCCAGAATGGACAAACCAATCGCTGTCTCTAGATAGGGTCTTTTGGTTTTTTGCAGCCAATGTGCTTGCTCCTACACACTACGCAACCCGCTTTCATTCCCAGTTCTCCAGATACCAACGCCAGTGTTGTTCAAGTATCCTGCAACTACACCGTTAGATGCCACTCCTTTCTACACACAGGTCCTTTAACTGTAATGTAGCAGAAATCCCATGTAAAGGTCCAGTGTGTAGGAATAAAAAGGCTCATTCTAAGCTAACAAAACCACCATGATTCTTATGTTCAGGTGATTACACACTAATAAAAACATACCTATGAATATTATATTCCATTTCTGCCAAGAGAGACAGATGTTTTTCCTCCATACATATTCGTCAGGAAACTTACAAATTCACTCTCTTCTTTACTCAGATGGTTCTGTGTCCTCATATTACGTGAATCCTTGTTAGGTTTAGCTTTGCAACTGTGGTGTTGGAATTATGACTAACAAAAAATACATAGCCAATGTGGTTCACAAATTCAGTCCTGTCATTTTACCAAAGAGTACACAAAGCTCACAGGGTGGATTTGTCTTCGTCTTTATCTGTGTGCATGCAGTCCTGGGTTAATAGAAACTGTGTGTGTGTGTGTGTGTGTGTGTGTGTGTTCAGTAAGGATGCAGAGCGTCTAGGAGATGAGCTTTCCCTTCAGAGGATGAAGTCTTTGTCAGAGAGTCAGAGAGCTTTGGAGCTGGAGAGGAAACTGTTCTCATCTGAACGGCTGCTCAAACAGGTAAAAGTTAAGATTTCTCACTGAAATAAGTGCTGGCTGGTGGAATTGAACACCAACTCACTGTTTATTTACTGTCTATGTGTGTGGTAATGAAGTAACCACTAGTTTGCTGTTCCCTGTCTGGTGCTGGACAGAGTGTCTGCTGGCTCTACCTCTTTGCATGGCTGCCCCAGTCGTCTCCGACTCAACCAGACATTTAGCCTGCTAGATATTGAGTTGTTGAACAGTGTGAACTCAGCATAACAGATTACTGAATGTATGTTTGAGGTGATTAAATGACATCAGCAGCACATCCTTACGCTACCTAGCTTGCCAAGTGTCCAAGTGTAGTGTTTGCGACCGGATCCATGACATAATGTTACCAAACACTGAACACATATGAAAAATGCAAACATTAATACTGCGGGCATATGCACACATAACAGTTACAGACACACATTGTGCTGTTTTATTGTATATTTCTGTTTACTGCTACAGGCTCAGAGTGACAAGATCAAACTGCAGCTACGAGTAGAAGAGCTCCAGCACAAATATGAACCAAAAGGTAACCAGAATAAAACCAAACTAATATTTGCACACTGGTCCTGTGTCTCTGGACTTGGTGTAATGTATGACTGTAACATCGTTTCTCTTGCTATTCTTATCTCTAGAGGCGAAAAAGAATCTGCTCCAGAAGAGAAAGAAGGAGAAACTTCCTGTTGACATCATACCCTCCTCTGAGGAGGCCACACTTGACAAGGGTGAGCAGGTTGTTGCCGTGGAGTTGGACGTCACAACTACTAAGACTGCACAGCCTAAAGCCGACCCCTCTCCCACGGCTGAGGCAGCGATCTCCACACAAGGCGTGCGCATCGGAGGTCAGTCACTTACACAAGGTTGAAATGTGGATATAAGTCCAGCCACATAACAGAAGCAATATATTGTGCAAAGTATTGAGTAGTCTTGTTTTGTGTTACAGGTTCAGAACCTGAACCACGACCTGCCAAGTGTGTGAAGATCAGTGGAGATGAGCCTGTGGTGATTCCTGATCCCAGGTCAGTGTGTCTGTGTGGAGGAGTCCAGGTCATTTTGTGGCTTTGAGGCAAACAACACACATACATAAGTTTGTTTGTGCACCCAAGTTGAACATGAAGCTTTATTGTTGTTTGTTTGTTATGTGAAGGATTGTAAGCATTACTGTTGATTCCTGTTCACCTCGTTTGGAGACATCCATTAGGGCCATCCTGCTTCTCTCCATGGACTTATGGGTTACTTTTCCATTGATACTACTTGAGCAACAGAAACAATTTTCAGTGTCATATAAATGGAATTAAATACAAACTGCTACGGATCCATGAGGAACAATGGAAAGGGAAGATTTGGTATAAACCAAAGCTCAGAAACTTCATGTTCAAATCAAGGAAGATTACCACACAGAACTGTATGTAGTATTTAATGTAAGGAGAGGGCAGAGGTCCCTGTGTGCTCCGTTCAGAACCGGTACCGTACCACTGCCAGCTGAGGTAGGCAGGTAGAAAGGTATCCCTGAAGAGCAGCGTTTATGTGTTCTGTGATCATGGTGTTATTGAGGATGAATTTCATTTTCTGTTTCACTGCCCTGTGCACGGTGACATGAGGAACCTTGTTTGAAAAAATGTGTTTTGGTTGTCTGAAAGTGAAATGTTGAGCTGGCTCTTTCAGGAGGGGGATTTATGGAAAATGTATGGCAATTAGGACAAAGAGCACAGTATCATAATAAGACATTTTAGTCATGAAGATGGAATCTTATGAAATGTTTTGGAACTGTACATTATGATTTGTCATAATGGCCATCTTGGCTGATGTTGCTTTAATGTCTAAACCCATATGGACTGGGCATAATACAATGGTAAATACATAAAATCATCAATCAATCAATCTAAGATAAAAAAGTAAAAAAATACAAAGATAGACAAAAGTTACAAAATTAGGATATATTAGTGTTTCTCAACAATAAAAACTAAATGATACAGCTGCAACGATTAATTGAATAGTTGTCATCAACTGTTTTGATAATCAATGAATTAAGAAAAAATGTCCAAATTCTCTGATTCCAGCTTCTCAAATGTGAATATTTTGTGGTTTCTTTAATCATCTGTAAACTGAAGTCTTTGGGTTATGGACAAAACAAGATCTTTGACGTCTCCTTGCGTTTGGGAAACGACAACATTTGACAACACGTGGCAGCATATCTTGCCGTTTTAGTGTCACCTGCAGATCAGTGCGGGACTATTGGCAGGAGAGTGTGCCACGTCTTCCACGTGCATGTGCGTCTTCGAGCGAGTGCCTGATACAAACAGGGACCCACTCGTAGAAAACCGCTCCATAAGGCTACTAGTGGTCAAAAACTCGATAGGAAACCTTAAAATAAACCTGTATTTCATTGGTCAGACACTAACACACGAGCTGACAGTAACATTATAAATAAAACAAGGAATGAAATAACATCTTTAGTGTGCAAGAAACAATAGAAACACAACATTCAAATGCATACTTGGTGGGGAAATACTACTAAACTAAGCTTAGAACTAGACAAGCGATTAAAACGTGTCTAAAACTGGTGTTGGTGTGATATTTAGTAACTGGACTGTTTGTGATCCTGCCTCAGCTCTCCTGTGTCTGACTGTAAAGAGATGGAGATGGAGGAGAACCAGCAGCAGAACAAGAGAGAGGACAGAAGAAAGAAAAGAACAGTGGAGATGATCCACGTCAGCTCTAACAGCAGTATGGAGAACCAGTGTGCACAGCAGTAGGACTCATCTGAACATGTGGATGTATTATGTCTGATATTCTTTGAAAAAAGTCTGTATCTTTTTTTATTCAAATATTCCAATTCTTTTACCTCTACCTTTTCTCCGGACTTCACTGTATTTGTTCTATACTGTCAATATATTTAAATGTTACAGTATTAAAAATGTTTTGCAATTATAGTATCCTGTGTTTAGTTCATCTATTCACTGCAATTCTTTAATGTTGCAACAGATTTATGTTAAATATGCTGCCACTGCAGTCAGGACTCAGCCTTGGTACATGGGGCCCAGGGTTCGAATCTGACCTGTGGCCCTTTGCTGCATGTCATCATTTCTCGTACCACATGTGATGTAGTGGTGTATTGTGTTTTTAAATATAAAGAGGGAAAATGAATACATTTATTTACTATTTATTTAAACTTCCTAGATGGAATTTTCTATAATATAATATAATATTGTGTTATTCACACTCCACACCAGCTGGTGGCAGTAGCGTTCTGTGTAGTTTGCCAACCTCCAGAAGATGTAATTCACGTGGACCAATGAGAGATGAGTGGAAGGTGACGCAAGCCTTCAGATGTATGCGGGAACCGTCCGGATGAAAGAGACTGTACGTCTGTCTGCGTCTCACATATAACGTTACGTCTGTCTGCTCTCATCTTCATCACTGCAACAGGTGAGTGGTTGCTAAGCTCACCAGGCTAGCTAGCGTTATGCGGTTAGGTTGATAACTGTACTGGTAAGTTACACTGCAACTGTCACCTTTTATGAATCCATACTGACAGCCATTTGTTGGTTGTCATATATCTTATCTTACTGACATATAGTATACTAACAGGAAGCAATACTAAATAGTTTTAAAAGAAATAAAGTTTATATTTTCCTAACATACATTTGTCTGTAAAAAAAAAAAAACAAGGTAACTTTAAAACAACGTATTTGTGAATGAGGTTTGGTCAGTTAGTTCATTTTCCACATTCAGCAGGATCCAGGTGCTATTAGTTTGAGTCACACACACACACACTTACGTCGCAAGTCTGCTAGTTATTTTCTTTTCTTACTAATCTGTATTTACATATATTTGACCCTTGCTTTGGCTCTGTAAACGTCTGTTTCCCATGCCGTTAATGCTGGTGTGTGTGTGTTTCAGTCACCATGAGGCTGATATCCAGAGGAGCTGCTCTCTGGTTGCTGCATTGCTGTCACATAGCCAGTGTTCTTGGCCAAACGGTGAGTTATATTGCAATATATTTCCATTCACTGCTAATAAACCAGGTTGTTAAGAAGTTAGTCAATACTATACGTGTTGTAACTGAAAAGCCATTGTTGTATTGATTCCCATGTGAAAAGTTTGATTGCTGGAGCTGAAGCAGGGACTTTAAAGGAGAAGTAACGGCTTCAGCCACTGTGACAGTGTCAGACATGAACTAGACATTAAGAAAGTCTTCATTCGAGGCTAACCACAATTCCAAAGGGAAACTGCTGTTCCTGTAAAGGGAAGTTGGTGGAAAGATGTGGATCGGCAATGTCACCAGTGGGTTATGTGTGGTCACCAGGGGGCTCTCTCATTTTGAGGGAAAATGCAAAAAATAAATAAATATGTATTACCATAAAATACAATTTAAAATAGTTATTCTAAAATATATTTATAATATATAACATATTGCACTCTTATTTGCTTACTTTCAGAAAGATACAATGATGTGCTTTGTGTGTCTGTGCAGTCTGAATCTGCCTTAACTGTAGTGGAGAATAAAGGAGGGGGTGGGGATGATGAAGAAGAGGAGGTGACAATTGATGAAGATGAAGGAGATTTAGAGGTGGCCCAACCAACTGAGGAGTGGCAGACGCTCAAACCAGGTACTGTACTGGAGGGAATACTGGTACTCTGTCACAGTCAAAAAACATCTGGATCTGACTTACCTTCTAAAGGTCTCTGTGTGTGTGTGTGTGCGTGCAGGCCAGGCAGTGCCAGCTGGTTCCCATGTTCGGCTGAATCTGCAGACGGGTCAGCGGGAGGTCAGACTGGGAGAAGAGCAGCTTAAATACTGGACACAGGAACACAGGTATGGGTCCAGAGTAACACCTGACTCTTACAGATCAAGTACGTTTTAGTAAGTCATTTATTTCCCCTGTTTAATGTGTGTGCAGGGAAAAAGAGGAGACCCAGTCCTCCTTCAGTCCTGATGAGCTGAAACGAGCCATGAAAAAGATTAAGGAGGATCAGAGTGACACAGACCAACAGGTAACAGTGCAGCACAGAGATGGAGGCAGAAATATCAAATACATCCACATACTACATACTGGAGGGGATTAAAAACTCCAAACATGTAATGAAACCCTTTAATGCCCTCACTAAGAAAGAAACATGGAAAAAATGTTTTCTTTGCAGTTATTTTTTGGGTCAATGTGGTTTTTAATCTAGAGCTCAAACAAACAGTTGAGCAGTTACTTCATGGTAAGGATGAAAAATCGTACTGTTAAAATAACTTTTTCATCAAATATATAATAGAATCACATCAAATATATGATATAGACCTCAAAATTCATCATACTAATTACATTTACATTACATTTTTATGACTCATTAATATTTTTTTTATTTCTAAAAGTAGCGTAGGGAAGGGAACTATATCTGAATTTAATTCTACAAGCTTGCTTTGTAAATAACAATAAAATAACCTTGAATCATTGACAACAGTGAATGTACATATGTTATTTCATAAAAATGTAAAATGTACATGTATATATTAACACCATTACCTTTATCACTAAAGGACAGTTCAGACACTTGGTCGGGCATTTTCTTAGACAGTAAAAATATACTGAAATGGCAAACCAAATGAAATAGCAAATGGTCCATTTTAATAACATTAGCAAGATACACTGTCTTTCCCATAAAATGGCAAACAGACCTTTGGTAGAGAATGTTTTTGTAAGTCACATAATTCTGTTCATTAAGGCCTCTGAATCTATAATATGTTGAGAAAATATGATTACCTTGGAAAATTCAACCAAAAAGCGTCCTCATGTCTGGAGTGACCTTTTTGTTGCCAACTTCCTGTAAGGAGGTGAAGTGAAAAGGGCGCAATCTTTTGTGAGATATAGTGACTCAAAAAGTGCTCTACCAAACAGCTGAGCAGAACAATAAAGGGTTAACAGCAAGGTTGAGCAATATTCTTCTTTTAAGCTTGTTTTAAAATCTGAAGAAATGTGTGTGCAGCTTTTATTCATGACTGAAACAACATATCACGCTCAAACTGCACTCTGTGTGTGTGTGTTTGTGTGCTTGTGCTGGTGTGTTGTGTGTTGTGTGTGTGTGCGCGTGCGTAGGACTCTGTGGCGTCTAAGTACCGCCCCCTGGAGGAGTTAAAGAGAGACTTGGCTCAGCTGGAGATGCTGGTGGAGACAGATGCTCAGGTACATCACTCATTGGAGTCACAAGCTCTGGTGACACACATCTCCCCAACATTAAACCCAGTCAGACACTGTCAGTAAGCGATGAATTGATTAAAACAACTATAAGACTGATCAATAATGTATTATCAATATATATATATATATATATATAATATTAGATATTCTACAATGTTAATCATGTACTCGAGTCCACTAGTGCATCAAATCCAGCATGAACTGAAACTATGACGAGGCTTCCATTCAGCAGGGAGTAGAAGTTTTCAAACTAATCAATCATTCCATTCACAAAAACAATAATCACCAACCATTTTGATGATCCATCATTAAAGTCATTCGAAGTCATAAAATATAGAGATTTCCTGCTTTTCCCTGCTTTTTTTTTTTCATCTAATTAAACAAAATGTTTTATTCTTACAGACCAAAAGATGAATCTAGAAACGTATCTTCAGATTAGTCGATAATGAAAACAATCGTTAGTAGCAGCCCTGGTTGGTCAGGAAGCAGCTCAGTGCAGAGACTCTGTGTGTGGGATGTTAGTGAGCTGCTGACGCAAGCCGCTCCACAGTGAAAGACTCTTGAAGAGCGCTGACGATGGCATGCCGTTACAACCATGTGTGTTTTACTTGTTGCTGACGCTGAGTAGAGTGTGCTGTGCTGGTGTGCAGATAATGAGGCGCCTGCTGGAGCAGTTCAACAGCAGCAACTCGACGACGGAGCAGAGGCTGAGCATCCTGCTGGAGCTGGAGTACATGGTGCATCAGGTAACATCCACACCGACACATCTGCTCTCAAGATGTGCGCTTACTGCTGTGCTAATAACTTACTCACTTTGTGTTAGGTGGATAATGCTCAGACTCTGTGTTCGATGGGGGGTCTCCAGCTCATTCTACAGGGTCTGAACAGCTCAGACTTCAGATTACAGGAGAGCTCTGCCTTTGTCCTGGGTTCTGCTGCGGCCAGGTATAAATATGTTCATTATGTTTAGCTAACATTTGACTCATCCTCAGTGTGAGCCAGATGACATTATTGACAAATGCTCTCCATGATGAGTGAACTGACCTGTGTAAAATCAGTGTGATGTCCCTTTTTAAAAGCCAAATAGAAAAAGTGTTGAAAACAAATGCTCATTTTTAGAGATGTGGTGAACTTGTATTTCCCATCATTTCTGAGCCAGGCTTTATATGAACCCTTTTTCAGCCTCTATACAAGTGGTGATTGTCTGGAGAAATAGCCACCTGAAAGTCTGGATCTGTGTACACAGGAGAGTGTGTGTGTCAGTGTCAGTGTCGTTTGTGTCCTGCAGTAACCCTGCGGTTCAGGTGAAGGCTGTGGAGAGTGGTGCCCTTCAGACGCTCCTAACCATACTGGCCACTACACAACCACTCAGAGTCAAAAAGAAGGTACGCGCACACACACACACACTACAGTTTATTGTGTTATGTGTATATAAAGACAGTGAATCAGTAATGTGTGTGACCGTCCTCCTCTCAGGTTCTGTTTGCGGTGGCCTCCCTCTTACGTCACTTCCCCTACGCACAGCGTCACTTCCTGTCACATGGAGGGCTGCAGGTCCTTTCGGAGCTGTTCAGGGCAGACGGGGGCGGAGTCTTGCGTACACGCATCGTCACCATGTTGAATGACATGATCAGTGAGAAGGTACAGCAAACAAACTAAAATCTCCCCCAGGTTTATTTTGCATGGTAACATAGACTGTATGAGAGAGTCCGATTGTATAGAAGTCTATAAGAAAATGAGCCCACTTCTCTCTTTTTACTACTCTAACAGTTTCCTGATGAGTTTCTGGTCTCAGTCTCTAGT